AAGGCCCGCTTCTCTGCTGTGGGTGGTGGAACACACAGCTGTAAAGCATGTGTCATGTCCCCCTCTAGTTCCATATGCAGGATAACAGCTTTCTACTGCTGCCAGCAAAAAACTCGAGTGGGAGAGGCATGTGCAGCCATGCTGAAGGGCGCAGGGGTTCAAATGCTACTGCTGACCCCTGGGGAGTCATCACACACATACGACAGGGGTGCGGCCTGGAGAATTGGGAATGGGAGCCAAGCCTTTCACTTCCACGTCTGAGGAGCTCCCCCCACCCCAACAAAAACCACCCTTGCAGCTGGCATGGAGGGTCCCCCACACTGGCAGCCTCAATGGGGGGGTCAGGAACGGCCTGAGCTAAGGAAAGTCATCTCTAGGGGGGGTTCCCTGAGGTCCAGGGGGACGGGTGGGATGGTCTGAAGAACCCTGGTGCTGGCACCTTAAATCTACGTTGGCAGGGCCCTGGGTCTGATAGGGAGGGACTCATGAGATGGCTGCTACAGGGGGAGGGTCAGGAGGAAACTTCCCTGGTGGCAGGGTATCCTGGGGTCTCTTCCATGCTGGCGGTGGCCTGGAGGCAGGATACCGGGCTAGATGGGCCCCTGCTGTGCTCCACTCTGGCAGTAACTGTCCCTATTCTCTTTCCGTAAGGTGTTAGTGACTCCCCATTAAAACGGGGAGGGGGGGGGAACTGGGCCCTGGCAGCTTGTGCTGAGAAGGTGGGTGGGCACCGTCACTTGTGCTTGTTTCCATTGAGCCATGCCCTGGATTCGGGAGAGGGAGGGGACTAAAGGCGAGTTCAGAAGGGAACGGACAGAGCGAGGCGGGGAGCTGAGCACAGCATGGGATGGACGCGCTGATCTAAGTGCCACAGCCATGGCCCCGAGGGAGAGGTCCAGACCCCGCGGCCACCCCATCGCCCCTGCCAGCCTGTGGCTTCTCCACTGCTACCTGTCAGGTATCCTGGGGGGCAGGGCTGGGGGCACAAGGGGAACCAGATGGGGCAAGAGAGAGGGGACAATTCCTCCCCTGGCCGGGATGGTGACCCCACGCATTCGCCTCCAGCCCCTTCTGGGCCTGATCGCTACTCAGGTCGAAGCCCCTGCAGATTGCGATCAGTGGGGTGAGCAGGGCAGCCTGGGGGCTGGAGGGAGGAGGTTTTGCCCAGCATGGGGGGGGGTCAGTCTCGGGGGCTGGGCGCCGGGAAGAGAGATGGACTGGAAGTCCCTGAGCTAGGTGCCAATCCCAGATCTTTCACCACCACCACCCCCCATGGCCAGGGATCCCTGCAGCACCTTGCACAGAGCTCTGTCTCTTCCCCTCGGGCTCTTGGTGACGCGACCAGCTGCAAGGGAGCTCTGGCTTAACGCTTCCAAGGGGCGTGAGCAGGGGGTGGCACAGGGTGCCCCCAGGGCGGTAGAGAGGTGAGACCTCTGGCAGCTGCTGCCCGACACGCAGTGGCATCCTGGATGAGGGGCTGGTTATGCCCAGCTGGCCCAGTGGTTAGGGCACCAGGCTAGAGCCTGGGAGACCTGGGTGCTAGTCCCTGCTTTGCCACAGACTCCTTGTGTGACCTGGGGTAAGTTGCTTAGCTTCCTGTGCCTCAGTTTCCCCTGTGTGCAATAGGGATAGTGGCCCTGCCACACGGGGGCATGGGAAGGTAAATATACTGCGGAGGGGGCGGTGCTCAGACATTGCGGTGATAGGGGCCAGCTAAGGTCCATAGATAAAAGCGCCACTGGCTGCGTCTACGCTGCCAAGAGACCCCCTGGCGCTGCGTCTCAGAGCCAGGGTCAATAGACTCGGGCTCGCAGGGCTGAAAACCGCAGTGCGGACGGATGGTCCCATTCGGCCTGGAGCCGAGGCTTCCAGACTCTCCCCACTCGCTGGGTTCCAGCGCCCGGGTTCCAGTCCGAGCGGGATTGGCTGTGCTACGGTTTTCACCCTGCGAGCCCAAGTCAATTGGTCCAGACTCGGAGGCTCAGTACCGTGGGATTTTCTTTGCAGCATAAACGAACCCCCCGTGTCTGATTCTCTGGGGAATCGTTCGCTGTGGGAGCAAAGATCTCGATTGTCCTCAGTTTTCCTGCCTCATTCTCATAGTCTGGGCAGGGTGACACTGTGCTATTTGCCCTGCAATATTCGTCCAGGGCCCGCTAATACTTCTCAGAGGGGGCAGCATGTCTAGTGGTTAGAGCAGCAGTGGGGGAGGGGCTGGGAGTCAGGATTCCTGGGTTCGATTCCCAGCTGGGGGAGGGGAGTTACCTAGTGGTTAGAGCAGCAGCAGCAGGGGAGGGCTGAGCAACTGGACTCCTGGGTTCTATTCCCAGCTGGGGGAGGGGAGGGGAGTCTGAGAGCGGGGCAAACTACAAATCTGGACTCCCGAGTTGTATTCCCACCTCTTTCTTACCCCCTCGTATTACTGTGGGCAATTCACATAATCACCGCGTGCCTCAGTTTCCCACATATCAGTTACCCCTTGAGCCCTCCAAGTGGCAGATCTGCCATAACTGCCTTGCGTTACCAGGCTAAATCGCGGTCCATCCATGACGCCTGCCTGGCGCCTTAGAGCTGCCGCGGTGCAGTGGCCTTTCCTAGGCTGAGAGGCTTCTTTGTTCCGGGTCGCTGGCACGGGGAGGGAGGGGGGTGTTGATGACACCCCCACGGGTGTGTGGCCAACCACAAACCCATCTCCCAGCAACACGCCAAGGAGCTGGAGATGACCAATGGGCTGGGGAGGGGCGGGAGCCCAGCTGACTGGAAGCCCAGCAGAGCGGCCTTTATGGACACTGGTGTGGAGGGAAGTGTGGACTAGCGGTTAAGGCACAGCCGGGGCACTCAGGGTGCCTGGGTTCTAATCCCGCCTTGTGGGCGAGTTGCTTTCCCTTCTCCGAGCCTCAGCTTCCCCGTCTGTCACATGGGGCCGGCAAGCTTCCCCATGTGCGCAGCTGTCTGGGAAGTGCTTGGAGATACTAAGGGCTATGAGGCAGCACAGTCTTTCTCATGGGGGCCTCTATCACCCCCACCTGGAATGGACAGGAACCTCTCATGGGGGGGCCGCTCTTTCCAGGCCGCCTTTGGGGGCCCATTACTGGTGTTCGCTGCACTGTGCCGGGGAGGGGCTGTCTTAGCCGGCGGGCACCTTAGTGACCAGGCCAGGGCCCCTCAGACATGGCATCAGCGCGGCTGCCTGTCCCGTGGCCCCTCGCACAGCGCTTTCTAATTAGTGCCAATTACCCTGAGGAGTTGTCATGTCTCCCCCCCCCCCATGCCTCCGTTAATTATCTGGCATGGGAATAGGGCAGGCAGATGGTTCCCACTTTGTGCAGTTCCCTGGAGCAAGTGACCACAACAATCCCCTCCCCGCCACTGCAGGACAGTGCCCCATTGTTCAGCCCCGCATCTCCTGCATCCAGCTGAGATCCCGGGGGGGGGGGGGGGCAGTGTGAGGCGGCGTCCCACCCTGGAAAGGGTTAAGCAGGCTGGAGCTGATGTGTGACGGCTCCTAATCGCTCCTCCGGCCCCGAAGGGGTTAACCCAGCCAAGCTGGGATCGGGGCAGGACAGGAGACAAATCCATGTTAATTACCGAGTGGGACTAATTACTATTGATGGTTCATTGGCAAAATGAATTGGCAAAACATAGTTGCCCGGTGAAGCCAGACAGACACACTGGCTGCTGCTCCAGACTTATTCCAACTCCTCAGTCCAGAAATCACGCCCCAGATCTGTTGTGCACAGGCTGCCCCTTGCATGTGGCTTCGGGCCAGCCCGGTCGCTCTGGCTTGGGAATCCCCCAGCCAGCCTTGGGCTAGTTCGGTTTCCCCGCAATCGGCCCAGCCTCAGCCCTGACTTTCTCCTCCTCACGGTTTCTCCAGCTGCTCCCGGGTTCCTCAGGTTGGAGCAAAGATTCAGCCATGGTGAAATTCCCCTCGGCAACCAGGGATAGGCCCCACATACCGCTAGGCCCCATGTAACGCCCAGCTCTGCCTGGGGGACCCTGCGTGGGTGAGAGCTGCGTCTCTGGGAAGCTGGGTGGCTAATGCGGGCCAGTGGGGAATGGAGCTTTACGTGGACTCTTTGTTCTTGGATCGCTTTGACAGTCCTCACGGTAACAACCACTGGGCTGGCACAGGCCGGATGCTAGAATTGTTCTGGCCCAGCATGGTCAGGAACCGTTCCTGTGCCCGGCTCTAGGCCGTGCCAGCGTCACCCACTGCCTGGGGGTGTCAGGTGCCCTCACACCGGAGGGTGGAGGCTGTTTCAGCCAGGGCCGGCTCTGGCTTTTTCGCCGCCCCAGGCAAAAAAGCCTCCGGCCGCCCCCCCCCGCGTGAGGGGGGGGGCGGCCGG